GAGGAATTATGGGTGGTCAGTTTTGACGGATCCGCTCGAGTGAAGCGTGGTGGGGGCGCGTTCAGCGCGATCGTGTGGAGTCTCCCCGGATGGGAGATGGTCAAAGCTAGATCGGGCTATCTCGAGAGCCTCACCGTGAACGAAACCGTGAACGAAGCAGAATACAATGGCCTGATCCTGGGACTCGACATGCTAGAGGGCCTAGATTGCAAGCGCCTAGTGATCTGCGGTGATTCCAACCTAGTGATCCGGCAAGTACGGGGCGAGATCGATTGCAAAGCACCCGGACGTACGCTATTGAAGTGGAAGGTTCTCGATCGCCTGAGGAAATGGAGCGATCATGAACTAGTGTATGAGACTGGAATGGGAGTGCCGACAGTCTAACGAGCGCCACGTTGCAACGACAAGGCGGGAACGAGGTCCAAGGTGGACCCGAATACCAGGATCTGGTCACCTTGAACCGGTTAGACGAAATCCTGATTCCCAAGACCGAGAACCCAGTGGTGCGAGTTGTGGCGGTCACCGCCCGAGTCTCTCGAGTACGATCACCCGCGGGAGTCATGCAAGAGGGCCTGATCCGGAAGATGCGGGTCGATCGGATCCGGCGGGCCCAGGAGGAGAAAGTCTGGATCGCAGGTATGAAGAAATATCTGAGTGGCTCAATCGCCGATTTCACACAAGCAGAAGCAAGATCGTACGGCAAGATCGCGGCCGATTATGAGGTGGACGAGCACGATCTACTCTTCTACTGCCCTCCCACGCCGAGATCGGAGGATGATGCGATCGATTGCTGAATCTGGTAGTTTCTGAAATGCTGCAATCGGACGTCTTACACCACTATCACACTACGTTGGAAGGAGGACATCAGAGAGTGGGGCGTACCTACCAGCGGATCAGAGATCACTTCCACTGGAGAGGATTATATCGGAGCGTTCAGCGATATGTGGGGGAATGCATGGACTGTGAAACGGGAAAAGAAACCCCGCGATCCGGGGTGAATCGACAGGGAATTTGCAGGCGACATACCTGTTCCAGATCATTGTGATGGATCACATACCCTCGCTGCCCAGATCTCATAAGGGGAATACAGAGTTGGTGATCTGGGTCGATCTGTTCAC